AAGGTCGACCAATAGCAGCGCGACGTCGGGTAGCCCCGCCCACCAGCCGTGAGGCGGACAGGGAAGCGCACCAATGGCTGCCTTTCCCAGGTAGCCTCGGGCTGCGCCTTCATTTCCGATTACGTCTAGCGCCGGAAACTACATTTCCCAGCAGCCCCAGAGGCTAAAACTCTATTTCCCATGATGCCCAGCGATAGCGCCTTGTCGACCAATAGCAGCGCGACGTCGGGTAGCCCCGCCCACCAGCCGTGAGGCGGACAGGGAAGCGCACCAATGGCTGCCTTTCCCAGGTAGCCTCGGGCTGCGCCTTCATTTCCGATTACGTCTAGCGCCGGAAACTACATTTCCCAGCAGCCCCAGAGGCTAAAACTCTATTTCCCATGATGCCCAGCGATAGCGCCTTCCCCTTCCTGATGGTCACCAGCTGGAACTACAAGTCCCAGGATGCTCCAGGAGCTAGGGCTTGCAGCCCCTTCTGGGGTGGGGCATGGCAGCTCTACAACAACAAGGGGCAGAGAGTGGCCAGTCCCTAAGGCAATGAAAAGGGGGAGCTAGGCTGCCTGGGTCCTATCCCCAGCTCTGGGGTGAGGGGACACCTGGGTTCTGCCTTGGGTCAGGGAGGTGGTGCGGTCTAGTGGTTAGAGTAGTGATGAGCTGGGAGTGGGACTCCTGGCTTTTAGCCCCATCAGATTTTTCAAGAAGGGTTGTTTGTGTCAGTATTTTTTAAGATCCTGAAGATACAGTGCTGGAGCCTGGTGAACTAGCAACATGAATAATTCATCACAGAGTGCCGAAATAACTGGGATTTTTCCTGACCACAACTGCTCAGCGCTACCCTTTATGTCTCATCTCTTAAACTGCATCTACCCTGCATCCTCCTCACGCCACACTGCAGCCTTGGCGTCCAGCTGAGTCATAGGGGACAACACCTCCTACTACAGCCCAACTCCTCTGCTTGCAGCCCGGCCGGTTTTTCTTAAGGTCACCCCTCCAAATTATGCTTCAGCCTAACCCGGTTTAATTCATTCTTTATTATTAGTTGGCTTGCAATAGCACTCGGAGGCTGCAACTAAAGTCTGGGCCCCATTTTGCTGGTGCTGCACAAACACATAGCAGAGACAGACCCTGCTCAAAAGACCTTACAGACCAAGACAACAGAGAGCAGGTGATAAAATAAACAGCTGTCTGGTGAGCAGAGTGCCAAGAAAACCAGTGATAATCTCAACTCAGTCGTTTTACCCCGGGAAGTGTTTTACAGGCATCCCAGCAGAGAAGAGTTTTAAGGAAGGATTGGAAGGAGAAAAATAAGGTCACGCTGGACAATGCTCAAGGATGCTTGTGGAGAAAAATATTTAAATGAGCATTTAGGACT